ATGTGCCATTCTTCTTCGATATGTAAAATAAAAAAACTAATTTAGAGTACATTCATGCAAAGAAAATTGTTGGAAAAGAATGCATAGCGGATACGTTTCGTTAGAAATTAAGAAGCAAACAGAAATCGTATAATGCTGGCATTGTTAGATGATGCTTTAACAAAGTAAATAAACGAGGGCTACTGAACAGATGGAAGACCTCGGCGTACGCCTCTTCGCTCGAGCAGTTTTCCGGAATTTATTCTATAATACTCAGCGAGTTTGAATTTAACATAAGGTATAAGTCAGAACCTATTTTAAAACACAATTATGACGCCTTGTAGAAACAATCGTTTGATCCAATTGCAAGGTAATTTGATCTTACAGAGTATCCACTTAATATTATCCCCTAACTTATTGACATAGTTAATTCTATGACAAATATGTTGTTAGTTCACTTTTTTTATTCATATTAAATAAGCGAACTTTATAATTTATTATTTAATAGAAACATTAAACTAGATAGAAACTAGAAACATTAGAAGTATGCAAATTCTTAGTACTAATTCCTTTAATTATTTAAATTCGGTGTTTGTTTTGCACTTCTATTAAAGAACGTTTCATAATAGATTCTTGTAATTTATTTTTAATAGCAAATCTTCATAAAAGGCAATGGAGAAGCGGGGGTTTCGCGATGAATGAGAAAAAAGTAAACAAATGAATGCTCATTGAATAGCCCCGAGGCGTGAAGCATCGTTGCTATGAATGAAAGTAAGCTTATCCCAAGTAGCACCATGATCTCTAAGTCATGACATCATTCTCGGTTGCGTAAAGCCTTGTTATTACTAGACGCTTTTTAAAAAAAAATGCGATAATCAAATAAATTCATTATACAGAAAGAGAAGCGAAGCGTTCTTTCGGTGATTCATGTCTGTGGCGCCTGAGATTATTAGTCATATGAAATGAATCTTTGCTCTCATGTCAGATTGACTTCTGTTGATTTTAGAATCAATTCAGATACTTTTTTCCGCGAATTCTTTTCGTTGTGTTAAGGAATGATAAAAGTCTTGATAGACGACAAGTGTTTGCTCAATGGTAATTTAATTGTCCAATCCAATGGTAATTTAATATGATTGCACATTCGTAACAATTTACGTAAAAGACGTACGATAAACCCTCGAGGCGTTTAAGACCACGCACGATAACGTCGCGCAGTAAGTAAAAGCTTGATTTACATGCGGTCGGTGTAATTCATTGTTGCGATAAGTATCTCCGATGTTCCCTGTGTTTCTTCAAGACGGTCGCCTTTTTCCGCTGTCCGTCCACTCGGACAATACCACGCACCGACGGGAATGCTAATTTTATGCGAAGTATCGCCGTTCGCGTGACGCGAAAAATGCGGCAGAAATGACACTGACTATTTATTACCACGCGCGCTTGCTTCGTGCAAATGACTGTACGGGCCTCTGGTTAATTATTTTTTATAATCCGCGGGTTCATTCTGACTTCCTTCCGAGACCGAATGGATTTTAAAACTGAATCGTGTTATCGCTGCGTCTTATAATGAAAACTTTCTGGTATTTGGTGTGCACGCGCGAAGTTGGAAGAAACAATTGACTTGAGGAAATACAAGCCNCGACGAGATCTACAATTTCTGTGCAAAAAGAATTCGCTAGTGCCAATAGTTAACGAGTTATTTGCAAAAAAAGAAAAACAGGTTTTTGCAAATTACTCGTGAACTATTGATGCTAGCGAGAAACTGTTACACAGGGATTGTAGATCTCGTCGTCCTCTACAGAGTGGTTTTATATACGTCCCCCTAAGTCCATCCGTATCGAAGTTATTGGCAAAAAACAGAAAAACAGTTTTTTGCAAATAACTCGTTGACTATTGGCACTAGCGAATTCTTTTTGCACAGAAATTGTAGATCTCGTCGTCCCCTACAAAATGGTTCTAAATACGCCCCCCTACGTCCATCCGTTCGGGAGTTATTGAGGAAAAACGAAAAGTCTTTTTAAAAGTTCACAGATTCGACGGGCGAATTGCAGAATCTGAAGGCGAATTCGCCCGTCGAAATAGCGAACTTTTAAAAAGACTTTTCGTTTTTCCTCAATAACTCCCGAACGGATGGACGTAGGGGGGCCGTTGGGGTGAGTTTCTTATAGAGGACGAGCTGATCTACAAGAAAGGTCGTATGCAATTTTCGCGTATCTCCAAGGGTTTAGGAGTTATTGAGGAAAAACTAAATTTTTTGTCAAAAGTTGGCTGATTCGACGGTGGAATGCTCGGATTTTATCAGTACCCATAAAATGCCGATTAATCATAGTTAGCTCGTTAAATATTGATGTTAGAAGAAAAATACGTAGAATCTTTCGTGTAGAGCACGTCAATAGCTACAATTTTTGTATATACGTCAATAGTTAATTGAATATTTCCTTCTATACTTTTTAGCACTTTGCTATTTATTATTAGCGTTGTGCTTCCGACGTCTGATTCAGTAAATCAGGTATATCAAAAATTTAAATACACTGTCTTTAAAAAATCGAACTTTTTCAAAGAATTACACATAACGCAACCGTAATCGAGTTATAGGTTCTGCTAATGACACATTACAAAAGCAGGCTTACGAATGCCTCGATTTTTTTTAATGCGGTAGGTGCGTCATCGGTTATTATTGCGGATAATCTGCATTCTAGAACAACTTATGCGTACCTGTGCACACGTACATAATCTGTCAATCAGTGTGCCGCTATTTTTAATCGAAAACAATACCGTTTGCTATATAGATTGCTATAACTTCTCGCGGGCCACCGAAATAGCATTCCGTAGACGAAGCCGGTCGAAGTAATCGCGATGGCCAATACGTACTTGCTGCGTTGTGGTAACTTTGTGTAACCCTGTCGTTTGACACGATATTTATTACGCGGTCCGAGTGCCCGGCCCGACTCGCTGGTTATTACGCGATTAATCAATATTTACTGCTAATTGATCTGGCGGGATATCCATACGCGTTAATGGATTATTACATCGGGACGGTGTGGAGAAATCTTAAATTATATCGGATTTTTCTATCGCAAGAGGGATCGATGATTAAACGGTCGAATCAATAAATCTGCTCTTAGCCGTCTTTGATTAATTTACGACATTACGTGAAGTACACAGAATTCTCTTTGCGAGAAACTCAATAGAAGGAATTGCAACAGCAAATTATTTGGAAAATAAAACAATCTATGCTTGCAAACCGGTTGCACGTTGTATGCAGACATTCCTCACTTTATCTATGTATAATATTCATTGGCAAATATAATACGTTAATGTAGGATTTTTGTTGATTAAAAATAGAATCAATAAATCAGCTCTTACCTGTCTCTGATTAATTTACGTCACGTGAAGACAGAATTCTTTTCGCTAAAAATCTCGACAGAAGAAAATGTAAGACTTGCTGGATTGCACGATACAACAAAAAACTTTTTCCTTTTTTTGCAGTACAGACTTTTCCTCAAAATTATGAATTTTTACAAATACTGCTATTTTTCGGAAACGGTACCTGACAGAGCATTTCTCTTTCCGGATTCGATTTGTCATAAAAAACTCCACATACGAGAATCACTTAGACTGCAAAAGAATTTGTGTTGTAGAAAATAGAACAACTTATGCCCGCAAACCGGTTATGCTTTGAGTGCATATTTTTTATCGGCTAAATGTATTTAGTTACTTTGTCTGTGTATAATATTTGTCGACAAATAGAATTAACAGAGAGTTCTCGTTATACATTCTTTTTCAATGGCTAAAGGCGTGTCGCGGTATTTGAGGAACTTTAAATATTAATCCACTCGAAAAGGAAACGCGAGGATTTGTATTGCACGTTCGTTCTACATTCCAGGGAACGCGTACAGAGAATCATGGTCGTACGAAGACAAACGCGACTACGAAAGCGGGTGACGGCCAACGCGAGATTCTCTACGCAAAGACTCTGTGACAAATTGATTGCCATACACAGAGGCGGTTTCTGCGTTCGATTGAGAAAAAAAATGTGATTGTTCCCGCGAATTAAGCCCGAGAGATCGATACGAGCTAATTGTATCGATATCGGCGATACATATACGGAAACTGATTAATTGTCGCGTTCAAAAGTACCGACGTTTCGTCGTAATGACCGTTTCAACGGCGCAATCAATTCCTTTCTAATTGTCCTCGCCGGTTAAAGGCGTACAATTCAATCACCCTTTGCGACACACCGTCAGCGAGGTGATCATATCCGGCCTTATAAAGATGTCATTAGCGATCTCTGAGACCCGGTTTCGTGGAAGTCGTTCAGCGGATCATTCAGGTGGTAATCCGCGATTTACAGCAAATTGCGAATAAATTACGGGAAATAATTGACAGGATGAAAAGTAGGCGACTCCTACTTTTCATGCTGACCAGCCGTAGTCATCGATGACGCCATGTATGGCTGCGTTCGCCGATGCAGAAAGTCCTTGATGATTCTCCTAGAAGACTGGCAACCCACCCGACGCCGCCGCGTGACGCGGTTCGGCGGTACGCGGCGCGTAATCGCTTCCTCTTAGCCACCGGGTACTGGCGGGTACCCCAGCGAGACCTCGAATCCCTCATTGCCAGTGATTTCACGGAACTTTGTTGAAAGGCCTCGGCGCGTTGCACGCCGATGGACTCAGTCTTTCGCTCGTTTTCGAGGGACGCGTTCGCGATCCCAAATCCTAGAAGGATGTTTTATAGATTCTACGATCGCTACCGACCCTTCACCGACCGCCGTCTCAGACCGTTCCCCTTCAGGTTTTACTGTGAGTGATCCGCGTTTTCTCGCCGCTGCTCTGTTCAAAGTAGAAAATATTACATTCACATCGCTTCAGGTTTCATTATTATTAGACTGCGGTTGTTTATGCATTTTACGGGAATTTTAAATAACTTATAGAGACAGTAATACGTAAAGAATTTCAGTCTAATTAAAAATCATATACAATTTATTATATTTAAGCAAAACTTGTGTCTTTATTCGTTTTTTTAGTTTTGTTTATAAAAATAAGTATTTGCAAAT